GGCAGCAGGCCATCGTCCTCATGCGCTTGCCATTAGATCCTTTATCGCCGGCGTCACGCATGTTTACAAGCATTGGACAAGAGAGACAAGGTAGTGGAGAGGACAGATGGGACAAGGCTAGGCGAGGGCAAGGGCAGATCAGACATCAGGAATCAGGGTCAAGGGGAGGGTGGACTGGGTTCAAGGGTGTGTGTAGAGCGGGGTTGCGAGGTTGTAGCAGGGTTTATACAGGGGTTTAGGGTTGAGAGTAGAAGAGCAGGTGCCAATGGGATGCTCGACCGACGGGATAGCAAATGTCGTCGGGAGGGGGGCAGGCGGAGTAGACTGCATCACCCAGGGGTCGTCCGATGGGATGTGTCACCGGAGGGGGGGTAGGCAGATGGATAGTCGATGCCAAGTGCGCCACTGGTGGAGGAGAGATCATCACCGATGGGAGAGCCGGCAGACAAGTGGTCGATGCCTGGGGAGGATTGCAAGAGACGGGGGGACAGTGTTCAGGTGGGGGAGGGCCCGACTGTCGCGGTGGAGGAAGAAGTGGGAGTAGAAGGGTCGGGTCTCGTGGAGCGAGGGGCCAGTTGAGTAAAGCAGCTAGCATTGGGGCAGTTGGTCTATTGATGACCTAACTGGCGGCAGGGGCAGTTGGTCTGTTGATGACCTAACTGGCGACAGCGAAAACACCCGTTGTGTTCCTGGAGGTATATGCGTTCTGCGGGTGTGAGTTTTTGGAGACGACGGGGTGGAGAGGCATAAGGCGGTCGGGAGGCACGAACCTAGCGTTCCGTCCGCATAAGGTGGGCGGTCTGGAGGTCCTCAATGGTGAATTGGGAGGGTCGAGAGAGGCAGTGTCGAAGTCGTCATCGGAGGTGGGTGGAGTGGTGTCGTTATGGAAAAAGCAGAGGCGGGAGGGAGCGGGCGCGGATTGGTGATGGGGGTGGAGGAGTCGATCGTGGGGCATGTCGGGTTCGTGGGCGAGGGCGGTTGCAAGGTCTTTGTGGCATACTCGTTTATTGCAGGAGATGAACGCAAAGTTGGGAATGACGGTGGTGGGGAGGTGGTGGCGGAGGGAGCGGGCATATTGGACGAAGCGGTCCGTGGGACCGGTGTCGGGACTGGTGAGTCCCGAATAACTTCCCATCACTCGAGAGACCGAATATGGGCGAGCTGTGCACAACAGAGAAATCCGAAGTGAGACGAGATAAAGGATTAGGCCGCAGGAGGGAGTAATGCCCTGGGGCAAGAACCACAGGGGGAAAGAACTAAGCGGCGGCAAGCGAGCGAGCGCAAGAACAGGGGCACATAGAACATAGCAGGAGGCCGGGAGGGCCATCGGAATGCAATAAGACTAAGGCCAAAGGGCCCTTTGAACTAGCAATTGCAACGCGACAACAATAAGGGAATGAGGAAGTCGAGGGATGGGCGGCCAGAAGCCGTGGGGAGCCAGGAAATGAGGGGCCAACGTGAGGGCCACCTACGGGAGCCTCGGAGCGGAGGCCCACGACCAAAGAGATCGGCATGCACAAGGCGCAAGGAAAGACTAAGGAGAGGGGTCGCTATGGGGCGACAAGACGCCCAAGGGGCATGGGACACCTCGGGGAAAGGCACCCGGGGCCACGTGGGACTAAGTAAAAATAATGGCGTCCGGGGCGAAATGTGTCGGGGACCGCCGACGGGACTAAAAGTTGGGGACCACCGGCGGGACTAAGTGTCGGGGACCACCAACGGGACAAGTGGCGGGGACATGTGAAAGTCCCAAGAAGAAACGGCGACACCGCATGAGGGAAAAATAATAAATGCAAGGTGCAC